GTAATTCCGGCTCCTTGGAAGGCTGAGGCGGAAGGATCGCCGGAGCCCAGCAAGTCGAGGTTGCGGTGGCCAGGAGTGGCCACTGCACTCTAGTCTGGACAACAGAGTGAGACTCCAACTCAAAACAAAAAAATTAAAAAAATTTTAAAAAAGACCAGAGTAACCCTAGTCCTACCCCTGTAATGTGATTTCTGCCTGCTCTGAGTCCATTGCTGACGAGTCTCACTGGACACCTCATCCTCATACTCTGCAATTCATGGATTTGTGTATCTAGCTCCTTTTCATTCCGGTTCCAGCTCGAGTTTTTCATATCCATCCCTCTGGCAACACTAACCAAACTACTATTTTATTTATGGTAAGTGCCACTTTTCTTGAATTATTTTCCAGTTTGTCTTGGCAGTTAGGATGACAGCTCCGTGAGAGCGGGGACCATTTTGTCTGAATTCCCGTTTCCCCACTGCCTGGCACCTAGAGGGGCTGAAGAACTGTCTGTTGGAAGGCTGACTTGCTATTTCAGGCTGCTGGGGGCTGCTCAAGCAGTCTGTGGCAGCTGCTTCCAATTGCAGAAATCTCATTTCTGACTTAGGCCATGGAGATTTGTCACCATGAAGACTTTGGGGGTTGTGAGAACTTTGGCCTCAAAGGCAAATATTTTCCATTGGGAAATGGTGACTTTTTTTTTTTTTTTTTTTTTAGTTGGAGTCTCACTCTGTCACCCAGGCAGGAGGGCAGTGGCACTTTCACGGCCACCACAGCCTCGACCTGCTGGGCTCAGGCGATCCTTCTGCCTCAGCCTTCCAAGTAACTGGAAGTACAGGTGCATGCCACCATGCCCAGCTTATTTTTTGATTTACTGTAGAGACGAGGTCTTGCCAAGTTGCCCAGGCTGGTCTCGAACCCCTGGGCTCAGGCAATCCTCTCACCTCAGCCTCCCAAAGTCCTGGGATTATAGGAGTGAGCCACCGCGCCTGACTGAAAATGGTGATATTTAAGTTAGGATCTCATGTCCCAACCCTTACTTGCCCTATTTAGGAAGACGTTTCAGGGATGAGATAAGTAAATGAGGATTCAGTGTCTCCGATTACACCTCAGCCCATGGCTTCTCCCATTTTGCTGTCTGGCTTTAATTCTCAGCAGGCCCCTGTCGCCCCAAACCACCTAGGCTTTCCCTCAAATCATACTCCACTTCATTCCCTAAAGTTGGGGCCCAACTTCAGATTTTATTTCAGCCTGTGGTAGTAATAAAAAGCAAACAGCCTGCGGTCCAGTGTTTCCTTAGCATTTCTAAAGTCTGGGAGCCAAATAGGCAGGAGGCACAAGAAGGAAGGAGGAATCTGGAAAAGACATGGCCCCTGCCTGTTTCTTCCACAATTAGAGTCAGTATTATGACGAGTTTTATCTTCAGACAGCTCAGGCTTGCTTGTCTTTCTGTCCAATACTGTTTTTATTGTTCATTTAGCTGGGACCTTCAACCATCATGGACAGTAAAATAGCCTGGATCCTGTTACAGTGAATGGGACTTGTGGTCCTCCATGGGCTTGAGCTTCTTTTCTAATGTTATGATTGTAACCAGGGCCACAACCTCCAGGAGCTGCTTCTGGTGAGGTGATACCCTTGTGCCTAAGACGTTCCTTTCCCCCATCCACTAACCGCCATTCATGCAAATAAATTTGCCTCTTTCTCACAACAAACAGTGCCTTCTGTCATCAGTTTGTTGTTCAAATCCCATTTTTAATCTAATAAGAACATGTACTTTTTTTTTTTTTTTTTGAGTTGGCGTCTCACTCTGTCACCCAGGCTGGAGTGCAGTGGCTGCTCCCAGCCACCGCAGCCTCGACCTGCTGGGCTCCAGCGATCCTTCCACCTCAGCCTTCCGAGTAGCCGGAATTACAGGCATGCGCTACCACGCCCGGCTGATTTTTTTTTTTTTTTTTTTTTTAATTGTAAAAATGAGGTCTCACTGCCCAGGCGGGTCTCGAACCTGCGGGCTCAAACAATCCACTCACCTCAGCCTCCCAAAGGCGCGGGGTTACAGGCTGAGCCACCGAGCCTGGCAAGAACATGTACTTTTTTTTTTAAGCAGGAGTCTCACTCTGTCACCCAGACTGGTGTGTAATGGCATGCTCACAGCCACCGCAGCCTCGGCCTGCTGGGCTCAGGCGATCCTTCCACCTCAGTTTTCCAAGTAGCTGGAAGTACAGGTGCATGCCACCACACCCAGCTAATTTTTTTTTTTTAATTGTAGAGACGAGGTCTCGCCAAGTTGCCCAGGCTGGTCTTAAACCCCTGGACTCAGAGACTTTGCCTCTGCCTCCCAAAGTGCTGGGGTTACAGGTGTGAGCCACCATGCCTGGCTAAAAATGATTTTTTAAAAGCTAGCAATAGGACCAGGCTACTCAGGAGCTGAGGTGGAAGGATCACTTGAGTCTGGGAGTTCAAAGCTGCAGTGAGCTGTGGGCGCACCACTGCACTTCAGCCTAGGCAACAGAGCAAGATCCTGTCTCAAAAAAAAAAAAAAAAAAGCCTGACAACAGTAAATCCATGTTATGAACCTTAAGGACAATGAAGTTGTTAAAGTCCCTGAAAATGGCTAGAACAATTTTTTTTTGAGTTAGAGTCTCACTCTGATGCCCAGGCTGGAGGGCAGTGGCATGCTCATGGCCACCGCAGCCTTGACCTGCTGGGCTCAGGTGATCATTCCATCTCAGCCTTCCAAGTAGCTGGAACAGGCACGCACTACCATACCTGGCTAATTTTTTTATTTATTGTAGAAATGAGGTCTTGCCAAGTTACCCAGTCTGGTCTTGAACCCCTGGGCTCAGGCAATCCTCTTGCCTCCCAAAGTGCTGGGATTACAGGTGTGAACCACCGCACCTAGCCAATAATTTTTTTTTTTATTGAAAAATACAGAGCACATCACAAATGCAAGAGTTGCCTGTGGTCATTCTAACTCATGACTTCTGCACCAGAACCACCTCTGGCCAGTGGATCTGTTACTGGGAAAAGTTTTGAAAACAAGAGACAATAGATAACATTTAACAGGTATTTTCTCTGTTCCGGATGCTAGTCTAAGCTTTACAAATATTAACTCATTTAGTCCTCACAATAACCTTATGAGACAGTTTTTTTTTCCCAGATGAGGAGACTGAGTCACAGACAGGTTATGTGACTTGCCTGAGACCACAAAGCTCATAGTTGGCAAAGCCTGTGCCAGTGGCCAGGTTACACTGCCTTCTGAAACATACTGCCTCTTGAAATAATAGCAAACATTCACAAAACATGTTATAAACACTTTATGTGCATTAATAATGAATTCATACAACAACCCTATTGCTAGATTTTTTTTTTTTTTTGAATTGGAGTCTCACTCTGTCACCCAGACTGGAGTGCAGTGGCA